TACCAGTACTGCTACTGCTACTGCTACTGCTCCTGAAAATACACTATATATATACATGTACATATACATATACATATGTCTAAAACTGTATTTCATGTGTATATGCATATATATATATATATGTATATACATATTGCCATGCATATGCACTTTCATTCGCAGCCCAGCCTTTTTGCGAAGGTCCGTAGCTGATTACCGGCAAGACGGGCGGCACGTGCAAACCTCAACAGCTGGTTGTTACTTTCTTTTGGGGATGTACTTGTCCAATTCTATGTTGTGCGAGCTTTACATGGTACCTTAAGCAGGCATGGGCAGCTTGTGCTGAGCAAGCGTGTTCCTACAGTTGTATCATGATCAAGACCTGGAGTTGAGAGGTGCAGGTGAGTGAAGACCCCAACATCGCCCAAATCTGCAAGTGTTGCAGGCAGCTGCTGTTGTTGTTGTTGTTGCTGCTGCTGCTGCTGCTACGACGACGACTGCTACTGCTACTGCGACTGGGACTGCTAATTACTGCTACTGCTACAGCCACTCCTACTCCCACTCTTAATCCCACTCCTACTCCTACTCCTGCTCCTGCTCATACTCCAACTCCTATTCCTGCAACACAAATTTCCACGACATCTACGCCTTCTGCAACTGCTGCTGCTGCGTCTGATTCTGCTACGGCTAGCCACGGCTACGGCTATGGCTATGGCTACGGCTGGCTACGGCTACGGCCACAACTAATCCTACTGCTGCTCCTGCTGCTGTGTGGGTGTGTCGAGTTCAAAGTGTTTTTTGCACCTGCAGCATGTTGCCGCCTGGTTGAGCGGCGAGAAAAGATAAGAGCGGCAGAGACAGAGAGAGAGAGACAGAGAGAGAGAGACAGAGAGAGAGAGAGAGAGAGATAGCGGGAGAAAGAGAGCGAGAGAGAGAGAGAGAGAGACGGAGGGAGTGAGATTGAGGGTGTGAGTGTGAGGTTACCTGTATTCAGACATGCATACGAGTGTGAATCTCGATGTAGTGTGTACGTACAACGTAGTGCATGTGTCTTGTATACACGGACACATATGTCTTGCACACACCTACTTTCTCATTCATACAGATATTCACATACGAGAGCTTGCTGCAGCAGAACTGGTTGTCCCACATTCTTGTACGGCAGGTACGGCTCATTCAAGCATGGTTGTACGGACCAGCCGGAATTCGATTGTTGTAGCTACACGTCATTGGCATAGACAGTTGAGAGTGGCCAGGGGGTTACGGGAATCCTCAACCCTAGTACTGAGCTAACCCTGAGCCCAAAGCCAACCCTCAATCCCAAGTGAATATTCCTGTCTTTAGGCTTCTTATGTAATTTAAAATTTGCTTTGTACCAAACTCATATACCCTTGAACTCTAAACCTTCAACACCTAGTATAATCCCTTAACGGAGCCCGTAAGGAATCCCGATCTACCCAAAAACCTATATCCTAAACCCGAAACCCCTAATTAAACCCCTAAATCCGTGCAGCCCTAAAGTCATCCAGGCCCCTGCACTGTATGAACCCTAAACCCCGAACCCATGACAACTCGAAGTTAGTCTCAAAATCAAGAGGGTTCAGGGATTAGGGTAACTACAGCCTAAATCCAAGAGTTGCGATGGCCTAGGTGCCAGTCGACGCTTTGAGGCTGCGGAGCATGCAGTCCAGTTGAGTAGGAGGTTGAGGCTTGAGACCTGCGGGGGTAACTCTAGCAACAGCATAATATAATATAGCACAATAAAGTATAGTATAATAGCTAGGCTTCTAGTGTGTTTGGGCCGGCAGCTAGACTTCTCTTTGTGATTGTTCCGGCTCTCTCAAGCTTCGCATCATTTAGCGGCAGATGGTTGCACCGTCACCACAGAGAGTGAAAGATGTGCTTTGATCAGCCGTTAGAGATACTCTGCATGGTTGCAGCTGCAAGTTAGCTCTTTGGCTGTCTGCCACGACTTGATGTCATTGCAAGTGATTCCCTCTACGGTTGGGGCACCGCTGCTTGACGGTTCAGCGGCGGCAAAGCAGCTCCTCCGTTTTGGTGCACCAGAGAGCATACCACCGGCCTCGCCCTCATTTCATTGGGCAGGATGTGGGATCTACTCCCAAGGTTCTTTCCATGGACAGGAATCAGTGACATGCAGTTACTGACGGAATGTAACTTTGGAGCACTGCAGCTCATGTTGGGTTTGTGCCATGCCAATGATTCCAGGTGCCAGAGCGATTCGGGCAAAGACTTGCCTGACCCTCCTGGCCCCAAAGCACCACATTGCAACTACGAAGCAGGCCTACGGTTTCGTCTCTATACTCTGAGCCCTACGGCTGGGATCTTCACCCCTCTCGATCGGCGCTATCGCCATCATTTCTCCGGGCAGGAGAGCCCCACCAGCAAAGGAGCATCGCGACCTTCCATGGGCTCCGAAAAAAAACTCCCAGGGCTTGGCTTTCACAGTTTAAGGTGTCGGTTTAGGATTGAGAGCTGCGGGTTGAGGGCGTGTAGGGTAGGTCGAGCTGTTGAATTTGTCGGCACGTTGCTACCCAGTCAGGGTGCAGTGTCTTGGCTGCTCGTAGTTCTGCTCCTTTAGCTTCAACGGCTTCATAACCCTACGACCACGAGAGAAATCTGCGCTCTTATGCAACAGAGCTCATGGCAGGCATATGATGCGGACCTCCCGGGTCCCCCGGCCTTGCATCGGATCAACCGGCTCTGGCGGAAGGCGTCTGCAAGGTTTGGGGTTCATTCATCAACGTTCCTTAGTATGGTTTCATTACCGGGCTCTCGACCGCATGCTTCAAGCCCGAAGCCCTAAATCTCAAGCCTCAACTTCAAGCGATTGTGATGGCAGGGTTCCTCATTTCAATTCCGTCAAAGCTCCAGCTTCAGGGCGTCAGGGGTGTGGTAGTGCAGCCTACATCGGCATGCTGTCACCAAGACAGAGCGGGGCCCCCTTGAAATCTGTCAAGCCTGAAGCCGAAGCCCGGGCCACTCCGAAGCCTCAGATTCTGAAATCTGAGAGGATCTTCGAGGATCTTCGAAGCATGAATTAGGGAGAATTCGGGTTTAGGGTTTAGGGTTTAGGGTGTAGGATCCGAACCCCGGCAGCCAAACATTGATCCCCGGACCACGAAGAGGCCAGCAAGGCCTTCGAGTCCACGCAGCAGGCGAAGGTCGGGCCTTTTGCAGCTTGAAGGTTTGGTAATATATGGGGGCTTACATCGATTTTTGGGGGCTCCTTATTATAATTATACTATAAAGGAGCCCAAAACCCTTCTAATTATTAAGGCCCCCACCTTTGTTGCGGGGAGGGATTTAGGAGTCTTGGGTTTACGCATGTAGTGGTTTGGGCGGTGCGCCGATGGATGTTGTTGGGCTTAGAGGCTCTCGAGACTAACAGTCCCAACTCCCAGGGTGTGAGCTGACTTTCTTTTCGGAGCCGCAGTGCTGACTTCTAATGGTTCTACGGTGGGAACCTCAAAGCTGAGTCGCGGTTTCGGATTCTTGGAGGATAGGGTTTAGGGTTTAGGGGGATGAACTATGAACAACGGGATTATTCTAGTTTCCGACAGGATTGCAAGCACCGTCCCCAGTTGCTGACCTTGTTGTACTATAGCGGGCGAGTTTGTTTGTACCTGTCTAGTGCAGCACCCCACTCCCAACGCCAGTCATAGCCATGGCCATATCTGTTATATTATATATGATCCCGGTTCTCGGTTCACCGACTTCCGCGGCCGCCCCATGGTATCACCCCCCCCCCCCCTCCCCGCGAACCACACCACCCGCATAAAAGTAACCCACAACCACGCTACACCACAAGGGCGGGGGAACCATTGGGTGGGGGGAAGCGTACTACACCCACAGGGAAGGGGAAGCAACCCACAACCGCCCACACCACACCACAGGGGGGGGCGGGGGAGGGGGGGGCAGTCGAACCGGCATCATTTTTCCATTAGTTCTACCTGGTAAGAACAACAAAAGCAGCAGGTACAACAGTGACACACATGTAACCATTATTTCGAGCAGAATCCATGCAACGGCCTGAATCCTGTTCCGTTGTGCAGACTCTGGAAACGGCTGCTGCGCTGGAGGAGACTACAATCCTGCCGTCAAATGCTGGGCATAGAGTCTAAGCCCGAAGCAGAGTTGGACCCTAAGTTGGAGCCTACATTGAGGCCCACGGCAGTTTTGATACGCCAATCCCCTCGAAGCCTCCCCGGAGTCAGGTTCAAGAACTCAAGGCCCTAACCCTGAGCCACAAATCCGAAGCCTCAAACCTGGCGCTCTGAAGCTCACGCCCTCAGGCCCTGAACCTGAAGGCTTGAGAGCCTCAGACACTCAAGCCCTAAACCCTAAACCCCAAATCCCAAAACCAACTTCCTACACAAGTGCTCCCCCCGCACCCGCAGAGGAGCAGCGCCTTTGTCTGGAGTCCCGACGAGCACAGGCGCGGAATAAGGTTATCATGAGTCTGTGTGTGGTTTAGGGGTTCGGGTTATTCGTTGGTGGTTGAGGGTCCACGGTTTCAGGCGGTAATTTAGGGTTTGTGGTGGGGCTTCCTGTAGCCTTGACCGTAGTCCCCGAACCGGGAACTTTAAACCCTAAGCGCCGAAACAGACTTGTTTTGAAGACTTTCTGCCGGAAGCTCTGGAATAACGAGGGGGTCAACTGGATGTTTATTGGATGGTGAGTCGGTGGTCGCGATCATCGCCGCTTTCGTCTGGCATTTCAAAGCTAGCACCAGTTCAGCTGGATTCATCTGTATTGCTCTAGATAGACACCAATATACAGGCAGATTGACACACTTTGCGAATTTGATAAATCCCTGAGTTGAGGCCGAAAACGAGAAGGAGCAGCAAATTACACTGTTGCGGCCTTAGCACATTTCTGTCATCGGCATGTGCGAGACCGGTTGCCTCTTCCTGTCACGCAAGTCCAGAAGGTGTTTCGCCAGCCAAGCCCACTACAACATTTTTGCTTCCTGCCTTCCAGTGATCGGGCCTTCGCTGGTTTCGATCATGGGCACAGTCCAAAGCGATCCATGCGATGCAACACAACATCTTGTAGAAGCTGCGATGCCAGGCATGTTGCCATGTGCATCTCCCAAAAACTTAACCCTAAGCCGGCCGAAGCACTTGCAGGCTCAGGTAGAACTCTCTGTGGGAAGCAGTGGGAACTCGTAAGCATGTCGGACTTCAAGTTGAAGGTGGATGAATCCAACAAGGCAACTGAGTTGCCCCTGCTCCGCATTTGCGGCACCGTTCAGCA